CCGTTACATTCAAGGAAGGAATGGAGAATATTGTTTTAATATAAGTTGTCTGAACAGTCTTTGTTCAAGGGAAAAATGCAACAATGAAACCCCTTTTAATCTAATTCTGAAGGGAAAACAGGTGTGCCACCGCTGCTCTGACTTTTAACACTCATCCCCAGTAGAGGACAAGGTAGGGGGAAGGTATGCTAAAGACAAGGGGGCATTTTCTTCGCCTTTATTCTCTTCTCTTCGGTGTTTATCCAAATAATGAGCTCAAGAGAGTTCCTGGCGGTTGCACAGCAAGCTCTCCACTGAGTTTTCCCCCTCTGACTCTCTAGGCAGCTGCAAACAATGCCCAGCTGCCTTCTCTGTAGACTCAGCCTGATGAGTGGCTGTGCCCTGTGCAGTATGCGGCCCCAGGCTGTGAGCTGAAACAAGGGTGTGTGGGGGAGTGCCTCGTCTTTACATGCCCCCCAAAGCAGGGAAAAGGGGGCGGATGTGTGACAGCAACTGGCAGTGGAAGGGACCCTCCTGCTGAGGGCTGCCCTGCTTTACCTCCCCGGGAAGATCCAGTAGGAAGACAGCCAAGGTGCCTAGCATTGACTGCACCTGTCTCCTCCCTGCAGATGTGAAGTCAGATTTTAAGTCTGCAGAGGATGTCTCCAACCAGAAAGCGAGGCATCCGATTAAGTGTTTTCCAGCTTTTCTGTCCCCTTTCAACCACCCTCCTTTGCCCTTCCTACTTCAGGTATTCAAAAACAACGGAGCAGGATGAGTCAAGGACAGTTTTACTCCTTGTAGAACAAGCAGATGCACAAACACCATTGCAAAAGGTTACAGTCATCCTGTGTAGGAAAGGGGAAGGTTTTCAATAAAGGCACAAACACAGGCTCCCCGAGGCTAGGACAAAGGGGCCTGGGGTTGCCAGTCAGGGGAAGTCCTACTCTACCAGTTAAGTTCTTATGAATGCTAGAGTGCCATTCAAAGCCGTGGTGTTTGTACTGGAGACTGATGAGCCTGGGACTCTTGGTCAGCAGGGGTGGTGCTGTCTAACCTTTGCCTTCCATGCCTCAGGAGAGCAGGCAGCACCTCTGTTCTCAATGTTTCTTCTGAATGATTTCCCGCCCGGTGGATTGACAGGTGCTCTGATTATCTGCCTAAGGAAAATGAAGGGATAAACAGCCGAGAGATGAAGATTGACTTGCAAGGACTCCGTCAAGGAGTGTGTGTTACACTTGGATAAAGACAAGAGCAAAAAGGGGACATGCAGAGAAATGTCAGATTAGCACCTAAATATATTTTGAAGAGGAACAGCGCTTTGTCAAAATGGTTGCTTCTTGAATTGTAACGGTGGCAGATTGTCACTGTCACAAGCCAGGAGATCTATCTGAGAAGATAAATTATTTTCTTTTTTTTTTGCCACAGACAACAGTGCACCCTAACAGAGGACTGAGTCATCTCACTCAGCCATTTCTGGTCATGGCCAAGGGTCTTTCTCCTGGCAGTGAATCTGACCAAAGCCAATGTGGGGAACAAAAAAAAAATACAAAAGGATGATTTTACGTTTAGTAAACAACGATGAGTTTTCTTCCTGACATAAAAGTACCATATTCAGACTTGCTTTTCTGTTTGGGCACGGAGGACTTTCGTCAGCCACATTCTGGATGTCTGAGGCGTTCTGGTTGTCTGAGGCACTTTCCCCCACCGTGCTTCCCTCTAGACCAGAGAACCTGAGATGACACTTGGAATGCCATGCTTGCTTTTCTCAGGCTTAAAACATCTCACCTGCATGTTGGGGAAGTCTTATGTCAATAAAGCACTCTTGAGCCAATAGGGAACCAAGATAGAAGGGACTAGGAGTCCAGAAGGACTCTGGGTAGGAGAAACACGGGAGTCAAGATGTAACGCCATGGGGTAGGAAGCCCGGAACTATTCTCTGGTAAGAAACATACTTAGATTAACAATTATGGGGTAATTACTTAAGTCAGAGCTAGCCAGTAAGAAACAAGCAAGGCCAACAGCTTCATAATTAATATAGCATCCTGTGTGTTTATTTGGGACTGATGCGGCTCTAGAACCAGGCTGGCGGGAAGGCTTCTCTCAAGGAGCCATCCATTTGCTCACCTCTGAATGCTCTGTAAAGCAGACATCGTGTAGCCGAGTCTTGAGAGAGGTCCTTGGGCCACTGGGAACATACCTTGGAGGTGATGGCGGGAATTGCGCTCGTCCACTCTGCCTCTTCTCTGGGTCAACGTGTGAGCAGAGGGTTCTACCATGTGCTTCCAGCATGGTGCAAGCGCAATGGGGACAGTGAGCGTTGGACTTGAGCCTCCAGAAGCCTGAGTCAATAGCTCACCTCAAGGGTTCTGTCGGAGGACTGTGAAGACGGCAGACACATAGGTCTTTATTTTTAAGTTAGAACAGACACTTTACTGTGAGACTGACTTGTGCTTTCTTTGAAGTGAGCAGTATTCAGGACATCTTCAGAAGGAATTTTAATTTTTGTGTTTTTAGAGAAAAGGGGCTGTGGAAAGGAGCCCTGTGCCCGCGGAAGCAAAGGAGCCCTGTGCCCGCGGAAGCAAATTTCTCACAGCTGCAAGAAATTAATGGGTGTGTAGTCCTCTAATATTACCCAGCTTAGTTATTGGTGGGGTCCAGACTTTTCTGAATAATAATAATAATAATAATAATAATAATAATAATAATATGCAGGTGATATGTATTGGGGTCAGGGGTTCGTGTCTGTGGAGGTTAGGGACATCTGGGGAGTTGGGTCTCTCCTCCCATCTTTCTGTGAGTTCTTGGGATCAAATCCACTTTGTCAGGATTGCACAGCAAGCGCCTTTACCCTCTGAACCATCTTGATGGCCCATGTGGACAAGTTTTCTGTCAAGACTAGCTGTACCAGTGAGTGACACAACCTTTTGAAAGTGCAAAGCATTGTCTCCTGGCTGAATTAGAAAATGGAGTCGTGAGGTCTTTGAGCTGTCCAGAGTCTGCTTGTTGCTCATTATGTCAAAGCTAACTATGGTGAATAACTCACCTGTGGCGTGGATAAATGAGGTCCAGTGCTCTCTCGGTTTGCAGCTCACTCAGATGCTCTTCCCAGTGTTATTGTACCTCCAGGGTCCTTAAAACTGCTCCTTTGCCTGCTAACCTGTGAGGGCTCTCCTCACTTGACTGGGCCTCCTGCATCCCTGCTGGCCCTGGCCTTCCCTGCTGGGGTACAGGGAACATAGTGTCCAGCCTGCTGCAGTCCAGGAAGGAAGCCAGGCATGCCTTTCGGCAGAGAGATGCCAGGATTCATGACCTTCTCCACATTTCCTCATAACTTTACTGGTGCAGGCTTAAAGGATGGAGAAATTGAAGCAGTGCTGACTTCAGCCCTCCCTTTGAAGAGGCCACTGCTACTTACGTTTTCAAACCAGAACCAGGTGAGGTTTCCCTAAGGGTATGGAGTGCCAGGGAAAAAGCCCCAGTGGTCCCTCCTTACCCCATTTCCCACTCTTCCTAGAGGGCCCATTTGAGAAAGCTGACTGCAACAACTTTGCTTGCTGGCCAGATCCTTGGCAAAGGCTGACGCTGGCCGAGCCAAGATCTGTGTGTGGGCTTAGGGTCAGCAGAAGTTTTATGGCACACCCTTCTGGGGCTCAGGTGCCTCACAGTGGCCCCAGGACACGTGCTCACACCACCAGCCAGGCCTCCGCAGTGGCCATCAGCTCCCAAGCTCATCTCTCTCTGGACTGTGGCCAAGGTCCACTGTGCCAGGCCAGGCTGTAATATCCAGCCTCTAGCCGATTTGTTAGGAAGCACCTTCGGTGTGTACCGGTAGAAAATCATCTAAACGTTTTCTAAGGCAAGCAGGCAGCCTGCTGTGTGGGCTGTGCTGCACAAGCTAACACAGAATCGTCCGCAGATTCCTCCCTCGGCTGTCACCCCTGGAAATTTATGCTGTGCATTAGGCCTTCCCTTGTTTGCCGGCCGACTATGGATGCAGGCGCTGAGTTGCTTTGAAGACTGGATTAAAACACCAGTGGCTCACCAGATAGTAGCCACAAGGGTGGGACGCCTACAACGGGACCTCATCTTCGTTTCCGCCCCCTTTCTTCCCTTACTCCTCTCGCGGTTCCTTTCCAAAGGGCTGCGGCTCATTTGGTTCACCCTGATTAAATCGGTCCTTCCAGGGCTGTGCTCTGAGCACGCAGATTCGTTTCGGTCAGGAAGTGTACGCCTTGGCCATGCCAGCTCTGTCGAAGGTCGCATCTGCTTCCCTCCTGTTGGGCAGCTCTGTGGCACCGGTGCCTGCTGTGGCTAATCAGACAGAGGGTGTGGATTTGCAGACTTTGCCTCATTTTACTTCTCTAACTGAAACAGGAACTTGTCACCACATTTTATTGGATGGAGAAGTCTTATGCACCAAGCCACTCATTTCTCACTGGGAACGTGAAACTCGGGGAGGTGACTTGGGCTCACCCAACAGCAATTTACCCAAGCCATCCAAAAAGTGAGTTAGCAGCTTTCGGTCCCTAACGAAACAAAACAAAACAAACAACTACTTCGTGGTGGTGGTTATTATTCCAGGACAATGTTTAAAGAAGCATTTTTTTATTACCATGTGTAATTGTAAAGACCAGTTCCGTGTGACAACTTCAAAATGCCACGCACGTGTCCCCCATTAGCTTCTCTTCTTCTCTTTTGGCTCCTTGTCCTTCCGCATTTTCCTGTTTTAGTCCCCTTGACTACTTTTACATCTGCCCCCCACCCCCAGTTTCTATGTATAAGAAAAAAACCACCAATATCTTAAAAAATGAACCAAACCAGAGAAACTAAAGTAGAATCACACTTTGTGCCAGATTAGCCTCTTTATGACTGCTTTGTGCAGAAAAACTGACTCATCTCGGGCAGGCAGAGAAGCTAGTAAAGCCAGCCTGTTATGCCACAAAGGACCCTAGGTGGCGCTGTTGTATAACTTCTGAAACCTGGGTAATTCAAACTCTTGAAACTCAAGGCAACGAAAATCCACTTTTTCTTTCTGTTTCTTCAGTGTCCACCCCTAACGGCTTACTCTTTTAAGTCCAGACTCTGCATATCTTACTTCCCAGTAGAAAGGGAAATGAAATTCTCTCTGTGGGTCTGCAGAATTAGAACTCCTTATGTGTACAGGGGAAAGCCTGAGTGCGGATGTGCTTTTTAAAACATCTTGAGGGCATCGTGCCGACGAAGCCCTCAAGGGAGTGTGCACACGTATTTGCTGATGTTTCCAGGAGCTGAAGGTAAGGTACTGCGGGGGTGCAGCTCACAAGTCCTCAGGGGCTGTCTTCTGAGGAGACATTATTGCTAAACACCGTCTCAGATCCCCGAAGTCACAGGCTTGGTCGGAACGTCATGGCTGTAAGAGGCCACACGCTTCTGCAGACCACGAGGGCCCAGTACACTCTGGTGTCAGGCAAGGCCATTGTGTTTGGTGTTTATTTAGAGTTCTGTGTATGTATAAGCAGCCCAGAAATTCAGCAGGGCGACCCCAGAGTGAGTGTTTCCCGTGGTATTAACGCTGTTCTTTCTGCCGGAGAGGACACTTGGTGTAGGCATTCAGGAAAGCCGTGTGCCTTGTAATCCCATTAAAAGTTAATGGACGGGCTAGAATTAATTTTAATAAGTGTTAATCAATTGCTGTTTGTCTTCCGTTGTTTGAAGAACAAAGGCACCCCACAGTATTTGGCCGTCTTCGGCGGTTTTTTCGAGAGTGCTCTCAGCAGAGGGCGCTGTTGCTCCGTATATGCCGCAGGCAAAAGCCTGCAGGAGCTTGGGTCGAAAATTCCCACAATCCCTTCCCAGCAGAGCTCCACTAAGGGATGCACCCACAATTAAAGCCTGGATAGAGACAGAAAGCACGGCCCGGGGAGGCTTTCCAAAGTGAACTCAAACTACAGGGATAATTTCATACTTGTGTGATTTAGCTTAATCAAATTTTACTGACACGCTCCAGAACCATGTAAATTACATTGCCAAAGATTTTTCAAATAATGGTGTTTTCTCTCTCTCTCTCTCTCTCTCTCTCTCTCTCTCTCTCTCTCTCTCTCTCTCTCTCTCTCTCTCTCTCTCTCTCTCTCTCTCTCTCTCTCTCTCTCTCTGTGTGTGTGTGTGTGTGTGTGTCTCCCTGTCTCTCTGTCTCTGTCAATCTGTGTGTGTGCTCAGAAAAGGGGAAAATGGACATAAATGTTGTTATACTGTGTATAGATATTTACATATACGATCCACCCACCCACCCATCCATCCATCCATCCATCCACCCACCCATCCATCCATCTATCCACCCACCCACCCATCCACCCATCCTTGTTACCTACCTGCCTATCTATTTCATACATATTTAGAGGATGGTCAGAATTGCTGCTCCATGTGTGAAATCCCTAGTTATAGGTGTATTGATGGGCTCAAGTTTGGTACTTTTCTCTTCTAGGTAATAAAACTTTGAACTAAGCAGCAGCTCCAGCCCTGACACTTGTGAAGTTTGTGAATATTTCCATATTTCCTGGCACTTTTTGCACCTTCAGAGTTTACAGAATAAACTCTTGTCCTTCAGGTCACACTGACACGAGTGAAGTCACAAAGCTGCATTATGCTCAGTGTCATATCTTATTTGGCTCTTGGATGCTACTTAGCAAGACTCCTGTCCAAATGGCAGGCAATGGTGAGCAAGGCAATTAGGGAGATTGGTTTAGCATGCATGATTTCATTTTCTGCTTCCTACGGTGAGAGATGAAGGGACCAAGATAACCAAATTTGACTTAGTAAAATTTAGACATCAATTTTTCAGATTGTTTTTGTGTTGTAACAGCACTTACGATAAATTTAAACTTCATTATTTTTTAAAATAACTATTTCAGAAGACTTTTACAGGTATGTGAAATCTCCTTGTCTTTTCTCAAGGTCTCTTTATCTTTTCTATGTTAGTTTATTGTCTAAAAAGATTTAAAAAATGCATCAACCTTTCAAATAATATCTTTTTTGAGCCTTTTTGTGTATTTGGTGTTCTGTTACATCAATTTGTTCATTAATTTTAGGTTGGTTCATTTCATTGCTGTTATTTTAATGTCATATATTAAAATGCCACCAAATAATAACCTTGAACAAAAAATGTATGGCTGAAACAGCTCTGGTATTTGCTGGATATTGATTCCCTAATTGGATTAAAGTCTGTCTTTGACAGGATTCCAAGAAAACAAGAAACAGCTCATGATTCACAACTGACTGGATCTCCTCCCAGTGACCATGGGTGATGCTCATTCATTCAGCAAACTCTGATTAAGGGTTTTGGTGGGCCTGGCTCATGCTGTTGCCATTGCCGCTGCAGCTGTATTGTTGGTATAGTTATAGGACAAGTTGACAGGAGGAGAGGCATGAGTCTTGGGATTTGTTCCAGTCTGCCCAAAGGAGAAAGAAAAGCCCTTGCAAACTGCTGGGAGAGCTCAAGGGGCATGAGGCTCAAGGAAGGGTGCTGAGGCTCCCAGGTGCTGTCACGTGAGCGTCGATGAGGGTGACTTCTGGGCTCCCAGGTGGCTGTCAGGTGAGCGTCGATGAGGGTGACATCTGGAACGGTAGCTGATGGTCTCTGAGGCACTGGGTGATGTCAGAGGCACTGTGGGCCCTTTGTTGACAAGGTCAGTGCAGATACTCAGATGGCATGATCACAGTGCTTCGTTCAGAAAGGATAGATTGCTGGCATTTCTTGCCTACTGCTGGCTGCTTTTGCCTTTCTTGTGCTTTAATATTGGTTTTAGACTTTATTTAAGTGCGTGTGTATACAGATGGCCCTGTGGGGTCTCAGATCACTTGGAACTGGGTTTATGAGAGGTTGTTAGTCTGTAATTGTGGTGGGCACCACACTACAGCCTTCTGCAAGAGGGGCGCTCACTTTTAATGGTTGAACCATCTCTCTTGACGCTGTCTATGCTTTTCAATGAGAAGTCTTGGGGACTGAGAAAACCAAGTTAGCATGGAACACTCTTGTGTTCCTCCATGGCCATCTGTACAGCTACCCTGGTGTCCACATCCCAGCTGGGCCTTCTGCACCGGGGAACAAACATTATGAACATTTGCAAGTGCTTTTAGGTAACTAGGTAACTTTACTTAATCCTTACAACAACACTATGAGCTGGACATACTATCGGCATTTCATCAAAGGTCAGAGAAGTTACATCTCAGAAGCAGGGAAGTTTGGCATTCTAAAGTGTATGCAGTTGTGGCTAATTGAAAACATTCCCATTGGGATCCTCATTACATGGGTGGGAGGTCAGCTGAGTTACTCTGTCCAGAACACACTGAAGCCTAGCTCTCTTTCCCTGGGCATTAACTGCTGAGAGGCAGCACAGGGGTGATACGACCAGGGACTGAGCACCCCCAGTAACCTTCACACTGCTAAGGGTTAGAAATCTGCTCATTTCTTGTCAGCACCAAAGCTTGCAGGACTCTAGAGAAACAGCAGTGCTGTGAAGCTCTGGGTACCTTGGCTTTCTTGTGCTCTGTTAACTTCCATGTTCATCTTTGTTCAAGAGGCTGAAGGAGCATCAGCATCTGGCTGGCTTGTGGAGACAAAGCGTCTTACAGAGGTGAGGCCCCAGCTGTGGAAAGGGGAAAGATATACAGATGGCGTTTGGGCTTGAATGTAATCCGTGGTGTCTGGAGCGGCTTCCTGAGTGTTAATGTAATTTAAAAATGGAAGTTTAAAGTGACAGCTTAAAGGTCAGTTGTTTCAGGAGAGTAAAGGAGTCATTAGACACCAAGTCTTGTACGACTTCCTTCATAACTAGAAATAGCAATGGAAGAGAGATAGCCATCGTAAGAATTACATTGAACGAAAATGAACTTATGCTCAACGGTACCTACTCATTTCCTTCCTTTATGTGACGATCACTAGAGAGTGTAGGAAGAGGAGTTACATTATATCCTAACAATAGTTCCTTAATTTGTAGGTGAAATCTAGTATTTCATCTATCTTATTACGTGTTTTAGCAGTGAATAAAGTTGTCAAATTAACTAGACTCATTGAAGCTATTAAAATGAGTATTTAACATGGTTTCACTACACTTCATGATACACAAAGTATTCTAGTCTCCACGATCTACCTTGGAAGGCTGTGTTAGCATCATGAGGGGACTGTGCCTCAGCGCTGTCAAGCCATGGGAAGATCTTTGAAAGTCCAGGAGAACGGAAAGAAGGTGGGGATTTGAGGGTAGGAAGGCAGATTAGAAGCTGCCTCTCCATGAATCGGTGAAGAAGAGATAACATAACAGAGGATAGAATTATTTCAAAGAGACAGAGGGCCAAAGCGTACAAGAAATCTCAGGGAATGAGGACAGCAGGTTAGGGTGGAGCCACAGAATGGGTGACTCAGCCAGGAGGCGCCCCAGCACGAGAAGGGGAAGCAGAGGCAGCGATTGCAACCCAGGCAGCCCTGATGAAAATAGATAGGTGAGCTTGGTGAGCTCACAGCCCTTTGAGGCCTTGACTCCAGTGCAGGTGCTGGTGAGACAGTGATGTCTCCAGAAGGACCAATGACTCAACAAAAGAGAGAATCCCAGTTTGTCTGCTAGTCTCTAAGAGCTGTGGCCGTGTGGCATTTGGCAGGGAATCTCTGGCTTAAAAGTAGAGCCACGCGGGGTGAGGAGTGTCTTGAGAACAAGGAATCACGCGTCTTGGAACCTAGAGTCACTTGCACAGCCCCAGGGAGAGAGCCCTGGGAAGCCACTGTGGAAACTGGCAGGCTCAATGCTGACACACGGAAGGGTTAGAGGCTCTGCTGAAGCAGCGGTGTACACACTGCAAAGTATACCCACTGCTGGTGGCTGGGGCTGATCCCTGCAGCTGCGAACAACCCTGGGTCTGAGAGCAACAGCAGGGGCAGACTTGGGTAGCACCTTCCTGCTATGAGGTTAAGTGCTGAGCAGTCAAAGGACTCTTGAAACCCCAAACTGCTTACCTCTAACAGAGTGGTTTGTTTATTTGTTTTTATATTTATTTATTAAATTTTAAACCTGCAAAGACTGTTCTCATACAACATATCCTGATCAGGGTTTCCCCGCCTTCATATCCTTCCAGGTCTTCCTTTTCTGTTTTAAGAAAACAAACAGGCAAACAAAAAAGACAAACACACAAGAATAAAACTGAATTAACAAACTGACATGCAAACAAACAAAAACAAGCAAAGAAAGATCATGAAAAATATGCGCTCTTACACACGTATGTGCACACGGGTACATGTACATGGACAAGCAATACGCATGTGCACGCGTGCGCGCACGCACACACACACCATAAAAATAAAGATCTGAGCTACAGTATACAAGCAAAAGACCAGTAAGATGGAAAAAAAGTCCAAATATGAGCAAAAACTCCGTAGATACCGTTGAGTGTAGTTTGCTTGTGTTAGCTGGCTACTGCTAGCCGTGGACACTTTTCTCTTTTTCCTTTGTGAGTGGTTATCAACTGGAGCTCCTGGGTTAGGGATGGGGATTCCTGTCCACTTCTCCATCTCGGCTGTAGGATCTCCTCCTCCGGTTTGGACCTGGGCAGGCCCTGGGCCTGATGCCAGTCTCTGTCAGTTCATACGCGTCTGTCCTGCTGTGTCTGGAAGTCAGGGCTTCCTTGGTATCGTCCATTGTCTCTGGTTCTTACAGCTGTTCTGCCATGCCTTCCACAGGGTCCCCTGAGCCCTGAGGGGAGGGATTTGAGGGAGGCATCCCCTTTACAACTGAGTGTCCAAGGTTAACGCTTAGAAGGTTAGAGTACAGAGACAGGTCTGACTCTATAGATCACAGCATCATGTTTGCTTCTTCTCTTCCAACAAAAATGCTTTGGAGAAACTCCTAATCCAGAACACAAACTACCTGAGAGTATGCAAATCGACAAATCTCAGGAGGGTGGGAGAATTGCAAAACTAAGGGAGCTAGGCAGAAGCTGTTGGTATGCAGGAACGCCAACTCCAAAAGTACCAGCAACTCTGGCAGACATCTGGTGCTAGGCAGTACAGGCTGAACGGCAGTCTAAGACTGGGGAAAGACAAGAGGCTGCAAGTTGAACTATGATCCCCTCTCCATCCCACACCCGCCTCTCTAACTTCAGTTCCATGTGACCTAAAAGGAAGGTGTTTAAATATTCCATCTGTTTCTCCTTTTGCTTTTCTTGTTTTCTCTTGTTGATAACCATAGTTTGGCTCATTCTTCCTTTTTCTCAATTTTTCAATTTAAATTAGAAACAATTTTGCTTCACTTGTCAATCCTAGCTCCCTCTCCCTCTCCAGCCCCCCAGCCCCCCAACCCCCCACCCCATCCTCCCTCTGCTCCCCAGGGAGAGTGAGGCCCTCCATGGGGGATCTCCAAAGTCTGTCACATCATCCTGGGCAGCGCCTAATCCCTCCCCTAAGTGTCCAGGCTGAGAGTGCATCCCTCCATGTGGAATGGGCTCCGCGCAAGTCCATTCGTACACCAGGGATAAATACTGATCTACTACCAGAGGCTCCATAGATTGCCAAGGTCTCCTCACTGACACCCACGTTCAGGGTATCTGGATCAGTCCCATGCTGGTCTCTCAGCCATCATCTGGGGTCCAGGAACTCCCCCTTGTTCAGGTCATCTATCTCTGTGGGTTTCACCAGCCGGGTCGGTCTTGACCCCTTTGCTCATCATTCCTCCCTCTCTGTCAATGGGTTCCAGGAATTCAGTTCAGTGTTTAGCTGTGGGTGTCTGCCTCTGCTTCCATCAGTCACTGACGAAGGCTCTAGGATGGCATATAATGTAGACGTCACACTCATTATCAGGGAGGGTCATTTAAGGTAGCCTCTCGACTATTGTTAAGATTGCCAGTTGGTGTCATCCTTGTAGATCTCTGGAAATCTCACTGGTGAGTTTGGGTCATTCTTATTTCAAAAAGGCCTTTGTAATTTTAGTTTTTACCTCTTTTATTACAGTTACCTAATTTTGTTTCCATTTTTTTTTACATTATCAGGCCTATCCTCCCTCTCTGTTCCCTCCCTCCCTCCCCCTTTCCTCCTTTCCCTTCTCCATTTTCCCTTTACAATATTTTTCTCCACTTTCTGTTTTAAAACATTTATTCTTCTCCATTTTCCCCTTCAGTCACATTTCCTGTATCTCATTTATTTGCTATTTCTGTGTTTAGCCTAAATAAGCTTATAGCTAATACCTTTAAGTTTTCTGTTCTATGGCTGTTGGTGGTATGTTAGTGGACACCAATTAATCTTGAACATATTTCTATATCTATATCTGGCATTGCATTTTATCATAGCTTCTTTTCTCCCCTCTGACTTTTACTGGCCATTGATTGACCTCTCAGTATGAGAATCACTAGAAAGATCCCCACATAAACCAAAAAAAGATATTCCACCAGCAGATATGTACGTTGCAATGTAGAAAAATGAGTACCATTGAAAAACTAAAGATAATATGATTCTTTACGAAGATCATAATCCCTCAAGTCAAAGATACTTAAATTTGGTTAAATACCAGGTAAAGAAGTAAAAAGTGACCTGTACTGTTATTGTCACTGCTCTTGGTTTCTCATTAGAACCTGAGTCATACTTTCATCATAGTGCTTGAAGATATCAAACTATCAGGGACCTAAAAGCTTCCTCCTTACTGGAAGCTTTAATAGTATGGAATAGTGCTATCCATGCTGTCAGGGATGGAAATCTAACAACAGTCTGACTGTGAACTGTGAGTAACAATAATGATGAGGCTGGTAAGACATGCCCATTGATCAAATCCTGGCATAGATGTGGGTAAGGTAGTTAAGACTTTCTCAATAGGAGAGTACTTACACTTGGCATGGTAAACTTGGTGAAGAACTCACGGCTTGGGTTATAGGCTCTAGAGGGGAACCTATTACTACTATTTTGCTGAGTGGAAACAGCATAAAATGTCTTCAAAATACTTATAGATTAGTGCTGTTCTTATCCCTTTTCAGAGAACTTCCTCTTACAGGGACAGTGACTCACACAGAGGCTCACAGCTAGTCAAAGTGCAGAGTATAAGTGACTGTGGTAAAATAATTTCTTGTACCTTATCACACCTTAATATAATAACTCTAATTCAGTAGTAAGAAAACAGATACTATGCAAATATGAGGGAATTGAACAATGTGCCATTGAATGTCCAGCATAAAGAAATTAAAACATTCCTAAAATCAAATGTAAGGGAAACAACAACTTACTAGACCCTTGGAGATATGACGAAAGCAGTTTTAAGAGGAGATTTTATAACTATGAGTGCCTACATTAAGGATCTCAAATAAATAACTTAATGATGTACCTTGCAGTTTTATAAAAACAAAGACATTCCAAGTGAAAATGCCATAGATTTCAAGAAATAAATATTAGAGAAAAATTAGTGAAATGGAGACTAAAGCAACAATTCAGTTCAAAGAATCAATAAGGGGAAAAGTTGGTATTGTAGAAAACAAACACTATCAACAAGTTCCCCCCCCCAGTCAACTGACACAAAGAGAGAAAGACCAGATTATTAAAATTAGAGATAAAATAGACACTATAGATGATAGCCACAAAGTCTGCAAGGTCATAGGGAATACTTGAAATAGT